TTAACTTAAAAGAATGTGTACGTGCGTATATAGATATATGTATGTATGCATGCACGCAATATAACCCCATATCCATGGAGAAAACATTCCAGGACAACACACAGGCAGTCCCTAGGTTACAAATAACTGAATTTGTTTCGAAGTCAGAACACGTAATTTTTAAAGTGTAACTCCAGCCAAAAATACCTATTTTTTAGTTTTGGATAGCATGGGAAAGGGATAACACCCCTGTAGTGTTTGTTTGGCTCTCTGTGTTCCTATTCAGAAGATTTCACCTCATTTTCTGTGCCTGTGACAACTGCATTTTGAGAAAAAATGTATTGTGGAAACAAGGATTGGTGAGAAAGCTTCAGTGGAGCACATTTTCCCCATGAAAAATCTTTCAGGATTTTCCCTTCCAATGGGTAGATTTCTCTCACTTCCTGTTGTTTTACCCCCGTTCTTAACTATGAATTGTTTGTAAATCAGATGTTTGTGACTTGGGGGCTGCTTGCATAGAAAACTGAAACTCTCGATAATAATTTGACTATCTTTGGGCTGGACACATACAACATAATTGCACTGGAGGATCTAGAGAGGTCCATATTTTTTTTTGGGGGGGGGGATACTTTTTGAAATGAAAGTAAGGGAAACTCTATATCAATTCCATGGATATGGGCATAGTACTGTATAGAAAGAAAGAAAAACGAATTTTCCAATTGGGAGAAAGCAAGGAGAGATAAAGAGCTATCCCAAATTTGCATCCCAGCCCCCTCTTTTTCCTCTCTCGACAGCATATTTAGCATTTCAAAGGTTTAGGAATTGGCAAAGGATCCAGACACTACCCAGTCACAAGATCTGATCAGCCACAATGAATGGAATGGGGTGTCATGTGAAAATGTGTTGTCTACAGATGTAATTTCGTCACTGTGGCCTTGGCCAGCTTCCCTCAAAATGTAAGTGAACAGATTATGAAATACCTAATTTTGAAGTCATCTGATTATTCAGCAAATTCCAGGAAAAGGAAATAGCAAATGCAAAAGGAAATCTGACATTACAATCTGAATAAGCTCCATTATTTTGTTTTACACTTTAGACTTAAAACTAATTAGGTTGAGGGGTTTAATCTTTGATCTAGAATGCCAGTGTAGAAGAGTAGTTTTCACTATCACTTCAGAAACTTTTTATTAATAAATGAAAGCCTACAGGACAAAAAGCAATCAATGTAATAAAATTTTCTTTTCATATAATGTGCAAGGAAATGGTTACATTTTTTAAATATGGAATCATTCAAAGTAGGAAGTGACACTTGATTTAATAGAACCCAGCAAAGGTTCAAACAACAGCAGTTATTCTGGGACTGTGAAACCCTTTCTGTTCTGTTTATTCTCAATAAGACAGAATTACCCCCACAAAAGTCCCAAACTCCAAGGCACATGCCCAATATATTTTGTATGGAAGTCTTCAACAACCCACTGACTCTTCAGATATATTGAACTGAAATGCCACTCAAACCTTGTTAGCAAGTTGGAATGATGAGTGTTACTGTTCAAAACATTTGCAAGGCATCTGGTTGGGGAAGACTGCTGCACAGATACTAACAGGTATTTATTGATCTTGTGTGCCTTCAAGTCAATTCTGAGTTATGGAGACTCTAAAGTGGTCAATCATGGAGTTTTCATAGCAAGACTTACTCAGAAGGGGTTTGCCTTTGCCTTCAACTGAAGCTTAGAGAATGTGACATGTTAAAGATCACCCAGTGTGTTTCTATAGCTAAGCGAAGATTCAAACCCTGTTCTCAAAAGTGTCAGTTCAGCGTTTAAGCTACTACCATACTGGTTATCACCCAGAAGATATCCTAACAGAAGTGTGAACTGCTGTTACACTCTTTGCCTGTACAAAACACCTGTTACATTAGTGCTGAGCTACTGGTGATTTATTTCTCACAACATTTATGAGAGGTCTGTTTCCTCTGTAGTTACACTGGGGGACAGACCCTTGAAAAGTCCAGGCTCCTGTCACCTCTGAGCCATAAAACTTTTCCTCGGCCTTGCCTATTATTTACTTTATTTATATCCCACCTTTCTCTACCCTGAAAGGGACTCAAGGCGGCTCACAGGGTTGTTGCTGTGACTTCAAAGCAGTGAAGAAGAAAACTTGCTTTGAGTTCATTGGAGGATAGGTGGGACTAAAATGTAAAGTTGCCACACCGAGTCTCATTTTGGGGGCACAAGGTGAACACTCAAGGATGTAATTTTTGGGCTGGGATATGATGACCATGTGACTGGCCAAAGAAAAGATGGATGGACTCCATCAACAAAGACATGAATGATGACAACCTGAGCTCCGAGGATGCCCAAAGCAAAGCCCTGTGGAAACGACAGTCAGAATGCTAACTCCTCCATTGGGAAAATAGTAGGGCTGGGCGGTTTCGTTTCGTTAATTCGTTAATTCGTTAAAAAATTCGTTAATTTTTCAATTACAAAACGATAACGAACCAGTCTGGAGCAATTTTTAAAAAAACGAATTTTTAAATCGTTTCGTAAATGGTTTGTATTTCGTTATTGTATTCGTTTCGTTATCGTTTTGAGGTCGTTTCGTTATTATTTCCGCATGTCTGGGGCAAGTTTTATAGTTGTTTTTGGTTTTCTAAGGGTTTTTATAGTTGTTTTTGGTTTAATTAAGCTTCAGAAGTTCCCCCTGTCCCATTTGGAGGTTTTTTAGCGTATTGTGCGGTCGCGTCCGCCATTAACGAATCGATTCGTTATTGTTTCGGAAATCGATTCGTTATTGTTTTGTAATTTTTTTCACATTTACGAAATTTCGTAAATATCGAACTTTTTTAAAGGAAAATTTTGTAATTATTTTAAATAACGAAACGCAAAAACCCCCAAAAAACGAATCGATTTTAGAAACAAATTTTTCCGTTGTTACCCAGGCCTAGAAAATAGCTCAGAAAGAACATACAGAAGTTGTTTGTAAGCAAGTCACTGTATACACAAGTTGGTAGATTAAGCTACAAAAAATATCATGCTGCAGGCAAAAATTATGTAAACCATGCAGCTTCTAAGGAAACTGAAGTAGCATACATGTTCTCTCATTTTATGGCACAATTTTTCAAAAACCAAGCTGTGTTGACATCTGAATCAGGATCACTTTCGCACTGCACAATTACAGCACTATTATTCCACTTTCATTGACATGGTTCATTGCAAGTTCTACAGTGCCAGTACTTTGACTTAGAATGCATGACCCTCCTGGTAAAGGACCATTGCAAGCAAATTGATGCTCAAAATTCTACAACAACAATGTTTCTATACATATAGCAAGAAAAGTCAAATGTTCAAGATGGGTTCAGGAAAGGAAGTGGCACATGGGATCATACTGCAAACATACATTGGATAATGGAGTTCACCAAATAATTTAAAAAGATAATCAGCCTGTGCTTATTGATTATAGCAAAATATTGTGTCGATTATGAAAAATTATGGATTGTTCTTAAAGACATAGGTGTGTCACAACATTTGACTGTCCTGACGCATAATCTGTATTCAGGATAAGAGTCAGGACAAAATACAGAGAAAAGTTTCCAATGGCCAAGGAGGAATGAAAAGTCGAAGAAGGAACATTAATAATTTATGAAATACAGATGACACCATACTATAACAAAAATAGCTAAGATTTGGAACAATTATTGAAATAGAAGACAAGGAAGAAAATGCAAAGACAGGCCATTAAGAAAACAAATATAGTGGCTGTGGAACATAAGGAAAACAAAAAAGTGGCCACAGATAATAGAGTTGGAACAGACTACATGGGCCATCCAGTCCAACCCTCTACCATGCAGGAAAAGCACAAAGTACCCCCGACAGATGGCCATCCAGCCTCTGTTTAAAAGCTCCAAAAGAAAGAACCTCCACCACATTCTGAGGCAGATAGTTCCATGGCCGAACAGCTATTATAGTCAGGAAGTTCTTCTTAATGTTCAGGCGGAATCTCCTTTTCTGTAATTTGAACCCACTGCTCTGAGTCCTAGTTTCCACAGCAGTAGAAAACAAGCCTGCTCCCTGTTCCTTATGATCCCCTTTCACATATTTCTACATGGCTAATATGTCGCCTCTCAACCTTCTTTTCTGCAGACTAAACATACCCATCTCTTTAAGGTGCTCCTCACAGGACATTTTAGTTGCCCTCCTCTAAACAAGATATTGAATGTTTTCCTGTGTGTGTGTGCTGTAATCCTCCCTGGGTCCCCTTGGGGAGATAGGGCGAAATATAAATAAGGTGTTGATGTTGTTGTTGTTGTTACAGCAAAAGATTTCCCATCCTATGGCTCAGTCATTAATCAAATGGAGCTGCAGTAGTCTTCTCATTCCCAAATCAGAAGACTGGAAATGAACAGAACAAGTAGTTTGACATTTCAGGCAGCAAGACCTGAAATGTCAAACTACATCAATTAACACAAACATAAGCTTTGTCTGTGCCATCTATCTCCCATTTCTATGGAAGGCTCTCAAAGTACAGCCCTCGAACTAGACCTGGATCAACTTATCTTGGACTGTAAAGGCACATCCACACTGTAGAATTAATAGAAGTTGATACACTTTAGCTGTTATGGTTCAATGCTACAGAATAATGGGAGCTGTACCTTGGTGAGGCACCACCACTCTTTGCAAGAGGTGGCCAAATATCTTGTTGAACTATACACTTTCCATGACTACAAAGCATTAAGCTAAGCTAGTGGTATTAAACTACATCAATTCGACAGAGTGGATGAATGCATATGAACCCATAGACATGAAAGAGATGTTACAGTATAAGGCAGGCATGGGCAAACTTTGGTCCTTTGGGTGTTTTGAACTCCAACTCCCACAATTCCTAACAGGCGGTAGGCTCTTAGGATTTGTGGGAGTTGAAGTCCAAAACATCCGGAGGGCTAAAGTTTGCTCATGCCTGATCTACAGAAAAGGGCTATTTACATAAATGGACCAAACTTGGCACACAGACTTTCAATGACTCACTTCACGCCCTGGTGTTTTGGGGCAGGATGGACCACGGATGATGGGATTTGCAGTATTTTCAATCGCTTTGGCTCCTGCAGACCACTGCAACCCTCATGAATGACAGACCTTGACCAAACTCGGCACACAGATCCCCCATGATCCATTTTGTGTTTTGTTGCGGTTTGATGGAGGATGGACCACAGATGATGAGGTTTGCAGTACCTTCACTTGCTTCTAGAGACCATTGCAACCCCCATGAATGGCAGACCTTGACCAAACTTGGCACACAGACCCCGCATGATCCATTTTGTGTCTTGCTGCAGTTTGATGGAGGATGGACCACAGATGATGAGGTTTGCAGTACCTTCATTTGCTTCTAGAGACCATTGCAACCCCCATGAATGGCAGATCTGGACCAAACTTGGCACACACATCTCCCATAACCCACTTTATGCCCTGGTGCGATTTGGGAGAGGATTTGGGAGTGGGTTATGGGGGATCTGGGTGCCAAGTTTAGTGATGGGATTTGCAGTACCTTCATCCTTCCCTGGCAAAGAACCAAACTGCAATTCCCCTGATTCCATGGCAGTCAAAGTGGTGTCAATCTGAATTAATTCCACAGCGTAGACGCGCCCAAAGAGAGAGGATGGGCAGCAAATGGCAAGCAATACCCCCCCCCCCCGAAAGAGAGAATGGTACACGCCTGACTGGCCTGTATTAAAGAAGACTGTTATGAAACGGCTGCCAGCCATGTGGGATGCGCCTCAACCATTTCTTTCCAGTCAGGATAAGATATAGCAGCTGCTTCGACGGGAGAAACTTCCCTGGCGGAGGCGCTTTCCCAACCCGCAGAAAACAAAGCGAGCCTAGGGTGGCTCCCCCTCTTCTCACCTGAAAGTGGAACATTCCTGAGACGACGCCGCCGCTCCACCTGAGGCTGACGCCGGGCCGCCGCCGCCGCCTCTTTTGTTGAAAAGCTTCTGGAGCAGAGTCGGGGCCATGCTGCCGCTTCAGGAGAGGCGGGACCGCGAGGGAGAGCCCAACTCAGCTGGCAGCCCAACTGTCAGGAATCCCTCCTGCCGCGCTTACAGCGGGAGCATCCATGGCAGCGGCCGGCTGGGCGGGGGGGGGGGGGGGGGGTGTGCTTCGGACGCGCTTAACGGAACACCCCTTTCTCTCGCGTGTGTGCGCCTCCTCTTTCCATCTCTCCCCCTCCCCTTAAATGGAAGCCGCCCAGTCCGTCAGTCATATGACTGGCCGAGAGAGAGAGAGAGAGAGAGAGAGCCGTGCGCGCGCAGCGCCCCCTTGCGACCGTCTCGAGCCCGCGCAGCTTAGAATCCCTGCGGAAACGGACATGCGCACAAGAGGGGCTTGCTCCATCCTAATGTTGTCATAGGGTCCTTGGGGATTTCGTTCTTAAAGGGATACGAGCCTACTTTTAATAGAAGAAGAAAAAGAGAAACAGAAGAAGAAGAAAGAAGAAGAAGAGAAACAGAAGAAGAAGAGAAACAGAAGAGAAACAGGAGAAGAAGAGAACTAGGAGAAGAAGAAGAGAAACAGAAGAAGAGGAAAAAGAAGAAGAGAAACAGAAGAAAAAGAAGAAGAGAAACAGAAAAAGAAGAGAAACAGGAGGAGGAGAAGAGAAACAGAAAAAAGAAGAAGAGAAACAGAAAAAGAAGAAGAGAAACAGAAGAAGAAGAAGAAAATCATCATTCATCATATCATATTTAATTACTTATTAATCGCCCTCCATCCGAGAATGCTCTAGGCAATTTACGGCTTAATTGTAAAAGATAAAATACATACATACAGAAATTAAAATTAACAGAGATCGAATGCTCTAGTAAAAAGCCAGGATTTAAGTGCTAGAGTAAAAGGTCCTAAGTCACGCATGGCTCTCATATAGAATGGCTCATGCATGGCTCTCATATAGAATGGGTCACGCATGGCTCTCATATATAAGAAGGAGGAGGAGGAGGAGGAAAAGAAGCAGCAGCCGCGGCAGAATATGTCAAGGAAAGCCAAGAGCCTGCTTTAATTGTAGTCAGTAATCGGAAACTTCTCAAAGCACAGCAGACAAAGAACCAGTACAAGAAAACTGCACTCCAAACCAGATCTGACAGCTGGCACAACAAAGCATTGCATGGGCAGTTCCTTGACAAAATTGAAGGAAAAGTTGACAAGGAGAAGACCTGGTTGTGGCTCACGAATGGAACACTGAAGAAGGAGATAAAAAGCCTGATTCTTGAAGCCCAGGAGCAAGCCATCAAATGCAATTAAGCCAGGATCGAAAAATCAGCAGATGACCCAAAATGCAGACTGTGCAAGGAAGCTGATGAAACCATGGATCATATCCTCAGCTGCTGCAAGAAAATTGCACAGACTGACTACAGAGGGACAACTCTGTGGCCCAAATGATTCACTGAAACTTATGTCACAAGTACCACCTGCCAGCAATAAAGAATTGGTGGGGATTATTAACCCGCAAAGGTAGTAGAAAATGAACATGCAAAAATACTGTGGGGCTTTCAAATCCAGACTGACAAAGTTTTGGAACACAATACACCAGACATCACGATTATAGAAAAGAAAAAAGTCTGGATTATTGATGTCGCCATACCGGGTGACAGCCACATTGCAGAAAAACAACAGGAAAAGCTCAGCTGTTATCAAGACCTCAAAATCATACTGCAAGGGCTCTGGCATACACCAGTACAGGTGGTCCCAGTGGTCATTGGTGCACTGGGTGCCGTGCCAAAAGATCTCAGCTGGCATGTTGAAACAATAAACATTGACAAAATCATGAGCTGTCAACTGCAAAAGGCCACCTTAATTGGATTTGCCCGCATCATTCAGAAATACACATAGTCCTAGGCACTTGGGAAGTGTTCAATTTGTGATTTTTTAAAAATATGAAATCCAGCTTACAGATCTTGTTTGCTGTGTGGTTTTGTGTCAGTAAAACAACAACAACAAATAATTGATAATATGAGAATAGGAATTTAATCTTCCTTCTTGGCACACTGGGGTCCCTTCTAACTATATATGTCTAATAATAACAAAATAGAATAATAATAATTATAATAATATATAAGTATACATAATATTATAATAGTAATTGTTGGAGAATCAGAACTGATAAGCCCCAAAATCACCCTCAGTTAGGGGGATTCCACCAAAGTCTAGCAGAGGACTAGAACATCAGTTCATAATCACAAAAAAGGTTACATGTGGTGAGCAGAGATAGCCTTGCAAAGTCAATCTTAGAGTTCAAAGATTTATTCTGGAAAAAGAAAGACATTCAGGAAAGAAAAGTACTAAATTTATTATGATTATTATTACTTATTTACCATATTTATACACCTCCTTTCTCAGCCTGAAGGCAACTCACATACTCAATACATGTGGGGGAAGGAAGGGATTCCCTAAGTATAGCCCTGTTTCTGACTACCTCCTTGAAGACTGGAAACTTGACAGGTACAAAGGCTTAAACAGTGCAGGGTGAACCCAAAAAGAATTCCATCCTCGCGTTTGGCAGGATATGCTTGGACTGGATGTTTTTTGGGGTCCCTTCCAACTGTATAAGTCGAAGAAGAAGAAGAAGAAGAAGAAGAAGAAGAAGAAGAAGGAAGAGAAACAGAAGAAGAAGATTGACAAGAAACAACTGGAAAAGCTGACACGATATGAGAATTTAAAGATTGAACTGCAAAGACTCTGGCATAAGCCAGTCACGGTGGTCCCAGTGATGATCGGCACACTGGGTGCAGTGCCTAAAGAGCTTGGCCTGCACGTAAACACAATCAGCACTGACAAAATTACCCTATTGGAATCTGTATGCATTATTCGCCGATACATCATATAGTCTTAGACACTTGGAAAGTGTCCGATGTGTGATCCAATACAACAACAAGCATAGTGATCTTGTTTGCTGTGTACTAATCTTGTAGTAATAATAATAATAATAATAATAATAATAATACTTTTACTTAAGTTGCCACACAGGGTATTTATTATTTTAAACTGTTGTTGTTTGATAATTTACTGCATCAGTAACTGAGGGTAAAAGTATATACAGTTGAGTATCCCTTATCCGAAATGTTCTGAGTTTTTCAAATTTTTACGATTTTAGAAAACTTGTATTTCCTCCCTTTTCAATATTACTATCTATCCATTATACATAATGGATATTGGCACTGTGGCAATATTTACAACTGTAGCACCTTTTGCTGGTCCATAAATGGATCATTAGCTCTGACTCTCGGCCATTTCTGTTGTGTTGGAAACATTAATCAGAAAGCTGAAGCCAATCAGTCCATTTTATAAATGTTTGCTGAAAAACCTAAATTAGACATTAATGAGTGGACCAAAGACTTTACATTGCCCAGTGCAAATTAATCAATGTAAAACTTTCCAAGTTTGAGTGGAATCAATTAACCATTGGGACTGGTTGGTGCAATTAATCATTTGGAAACCTGAGTGGGAAACTGCCCCAGCTAAAGCTTGTTTAGATCAGCAAAAATCAAAATTCTGGGTATCTCTAATGTTACTGTGTGTGAGCAGACGCGGCCCTAGGTAATTTTCAATGGTAAGCAAAAAAGTATTCCCCCCCCCCCCCACCAATCACTGATAAATATTTTCTGTTTGTCGTGGGAGTTCTGTGTGCCATATTTGGTTCAATTCCATCATTGGTGGAGTTCAGAATGCTCTTTGATCGTAGGTGAACTATACATCCCAGTAACTACAACTTGCATATGTCAAGGTCTATTTTCCCCCAAGAGCGCCTCAAGAGTGCCCCCTGGGCAAAATCAACTATACTGCAAATGCTTACTTTGCGTAATGGGTTGAGCCGCCCTTGTGTGTGTGAGAGGGGGATCAGCTTCACCTTTTTGGGTGATTTAATGGCATATGGAATAAACAATGCTCAGTTATTACTCTGCTTTGATTGTACAACATATTTATTTGGGATTGGGAAAAAAATGTTGGGCATTTGTTAATGCATTTGTTCTTTCAAATTACATTCTTGTGTGTTGTGCTATGCAATTTAATTAAACTTTTACTGTAGAAAAAATATAAGTTTGAAAAGAAAAGCACTCACCATCTATCGTTCAGTACTTCAAAGATTTTGCCCCTTGAGTTTTGTTGTTTATTCATTCAGTCGCGTCTAACTCTTCGTGACCTCATGGACCAGCCCACAGAGCTCTCTGTTGGCCGTGGCCACCCCCAGTTCCTTTAAAGTCAAGCCAGTCACTTCAAGGATAACATCCATCCATCTTGCAGTTAGTCGGCCACTCTTCCCTTTCCCTTCCATTTTCCCTAGCATCATTGTCTTCTCCAAGCTTTCCTGTGTTCTCATGATGTGGCCAAAGGACTTCATCTTTGCCTCTAATATGCATCCCTCCAATGAGCAGCTGGGCATTATTTCCTGGAGTATGGACTGGTTTGATCTTGCGGTCCAAGGCACTCTCAGAATTTTCCTCCAACACAACAGTTCAAAAGTGTCTATCTTCCTTCGCTCAGCCTTCCTTATGGCCCAGCTCTCGCATCCATAGGTTACTACAGGGAATACCATTGCTTTAACTATGCCCCTTGAGTTACACAGAAAAATATATTTTATAGATGCCAATTTCAAGAAAATTGACTTTTTAGAAATATG